GTTGGTAAATTTTTTAAGCGGATCTCAGATAAATTCAACCGTCCGCATTGCTGCTACATACCTAACAATATCCCGTTTATTTTAATTTATTTTCTCAGTAAATAGTGTAGAGGCAGTTTAACGTATCCATAAAACAGGTTGGTTTATTCATTTATGTAAAGACTATCCATGCTCAAATATCGATTATTCAACAATTTTCTTAATAATCACTCAAGTGAAACCTCCTTTCTATCATTCCTATAAGCAGGGTGTGACAACAATTGTTTCTGTGTACTAAATTTAACTTGTAATAAACTTCTTCGTTCATGTGTAAAATGATTGACTACATAAGACTGCATTAGATGCTACATTCTTTGAAGTTCCCTTTGTTTTATAACAGTTTATGAGCGGTCATTAGACTCCTGAAGAAGAGAATTTATCAATAAAGCCGGAAGATGTCTTCACCTCAAAATATGCAAAAGTTAACGTCTAGATAGTTTAACGTGCATCTACTAAAGTAGCCGATTTTCAGGTTAACAATGATTTGTACTACAGAGACAGTTTACTAATTGAAACTATAATAATTAAAATAATAGTAGAAAGAAGGCAATCAATCCCGTTAGCTCAATAAAAGCAGAATATTTATGATCAGTAGATTTTCATTTACAAACAATTAAGTAGATGAATAATCCTCATTATGACATGAAAACAAAAAATTCTCTTTCCAAGGATTTCATTTTCACAGCTGTACAGTCGTATACATATATGAATTACAATAAACAATAACAATTAGTGTTTTTGCGTGAGTGTGTTAAAGTTTCACAGTGATTGGAACTACTAAGGTGCTATAATATTTGTGTATAGAATTATGAGTCACAACTGATTAGTTAAATAAATGAATAACCATATAAACAGAGGTCAACCTAAAGCTCAATAGGTATGTGTGAAATAGATGATCGGAAAATAAAGTACATTCGGAAGTGTGATATATTATGGTGAGGCCATAGGATGAGTGAAATGTTGTCAAAACAGTAGACTAGATAAAATGTTAGAATATGATAACATAAAGTGAGATGAAATGAAACAAAAATGGAAAATGGAGTAAAGAAAGATAAGAAAGTTTTTATGTGAATCACATAGTCTAAATCAAGACCAAGGTAACGAAAGAGGTCCTGCAAATTTTTATTATGCACAAAGTTCTGGCTTTAATAACTCTCACTTCTAAGGCCACTTCCGAGTCACTCCCTATTACGCAATAATAGACCACTATATATTTTTTGGTAAGTATAAATACGACTGTACAGTCTCCGAAGATGATTTCATCGATAAAGAAAATTTTCTTCGCTGAATTTGTCTTTTATTTTCTTTATGACTCAGTGGGTATTTTCGGTGACTTATTAATTTCATATTTATTTCCTATGACAAGTCCGTGTGTGACCAGATTGTTCGAAATGTATTGCGGAAATACATTACACGACTTAGACAAATTACATCATCTTATTGCTTAGCCTAAATTCATAAAGGGAACTAATTGTTTTAAATTTATGTTATGTATTGCCAAAGCCTCTGCTGTACAAAGCAAATGCACTCATGTGCCTTTCTGCAAACTTTCTCGACTCTATTAAACAATGTGACAGATGCTGTGTGTAGAATTGAAATCAAAACGATTCTAATGGTGATGTGTTCAACTATTTCAACCTCACTTTAATTCATAAAAATAGTGTATTTCTGGGGCGTGAATTTTAATTTTCTTAAAATCTAATTTTTTTCTTTATATTCATTATTTTAAAATATTTGCTTATCCGTAAAAAGTGAAATCTACCAATCAATTGTGGTTTCATTTCTCTGGTAAAAATATGGAAAATGAGACATAAACCGGACAGTTATACAACCTCCGGAGGTATGTGGTAGATTTATTCTACTGGTCAAAACGTCTCTCATCAGGAGTGAATATCTTAGTGATAACCTCTGTTATTCTACAACTGAATGTTACTTTTATTTTCTCATTTTTGACACCACATAAATATTTTTTAGACTTCAAGATAAATATCCCTAGTTAGCGTTAAGAAGCAATAATGTGAATTACGAAGATATCCTGTCATTTAGCACCCATATTTAAAAATACTTCATTACCATTTCAATACAATCAGTCTAGTAGCCGTATTTAACACCTAGCCGGTAGTCTTCGGTCAGCAATTTAATGTTGTCACTATAGATGTGGCTCACTGGTCCAGATGCGTCATGCGTCTGAACCCAGGCTCAACCTTCCGAGATCTTAGTTTTGGTGGCTCTTACACAGTAGGTGTGGCTCATTGATAACTGAGTATAAATCCAAGTGGTTTTTCAGTGACATTTCCATCTTTTTCAGTGTTGACAACTGGGCTATAAAACTATACTGTTTATTATTCTCTAGTTATCATGTCGCATAATGGAAAAGTCTATTGAAAGCCTTAAAAACAATTTGATTAATCTTATCACAGTAAAGGCTGTTTGCTTATACGGACTATCTTATAGATCTCTAACTATGAAGGTGATTTCAGTAAAGTGAGTAATTATTCTACCACCAGTACACACGTTAAGCTCATTGTTTTCCATACAAAATCGACACACTTGAATCAAGTGTTTCACCTGAAAAGTATAAGATCGATTAAAATAAAAAAGTTCTCTTCATAATTATTGGAAGCTTAGGTATAGAGAATATTACAGTGGGGGAGGTAATTGAAAGCTGTGGTACATTATTAACAAATCGAAAATCATAATGTACAAAATGTACCAGTAAAAATCCTTTTCACAGTGTTTTGTTTATGAAAAAGGTTGCTTTTGAGAATTTAAAATACTAAGTGTGAAAGAGTAGAATAACAGAGGTAAGACAGTAGTGCCATCAGATTTCAGATCATATAGATTTAGAGTGCGATAGATGAAATTTGAGTCGATGATATTGTTACTTTTACCAGTAGCTTCTTTTATTTCGACTGCATGATTAGATTGACTGCTTTGTCCGCTCTTGTAGTATTGAAACAGCAATAGAAGAAACCATGTTTTTTTTCTGTAAGTTAGAGAGGGTACTTCCGCCGTCGGAGTGTACCAAACCATTTAATAATGTCTTAAAGCGTTAGGCTTACATCTATAAGTTTAAACAGTTTTATGCATTTTCTGTATAGCCAGGTCTATCACCGTTAGTTCGTGATCACTTTCAATAGAACGGAGACAACATAATAGCCGTTTTAAATCGTAAAAACCTAAATGATGCTCAATCTTCAATTCGACCAAATTCACATTCTTTCCAAGGAAATCTAATTAAACACACGCATATGCCATTGAGTACTAATTAATTTAAAGCCTTTATTTTTACTTCTAAAGGCACTTCTGAGTAATTATATAAATTATGTCATCCCAACCCCCACCCCCCCCATTACTTAATAATAGACTGTTATACATTTTTGGTAAATATAAATACGACTGTACAACCTGTGAAAATGATTTCATCGATAAAGAAAATTTTCTTTGCTAAATTGTCTTCTTTTTTCTACAAGTATGACAGTTGCACTTAATCTAAACTGTTCCCTATGGAATGTAACTGGAATACGTTTTTTCTTCATCCGAACCTCCAACAGTAAAAGCTCAAAACCAGCTAAAGTTGAATCTAGATTTCTTATTGATTCTAACAGGTTGTTTTTTATACTCACTATGCAATTAGTTACTCTAAGGTAAATTAAACAAAACAGTATGAAGTTTCATACACATCTGTGGTTTAAAACTCTAATAAACAAAATAAATGATGTTATGCTTATTTCTAACACTTCAAATTGAAGACTTTTGATTTACGCAGTTAGTAACTTCTGCAGGAAGTCAACAAGTTATCATTACTGAAAACAAATACAAAGAAGGTTTAATCGCTTTAATCGTAACATTTGTTTGTTAACATAGAGTTCAGAGGTAGTTACTACGAGGGGTAAAGAACATATCAAGAAAGGTCACCTTTGAAGTAAGGCAACTACAAATGACTAATTATTGAGAAAAATAAAGGGATTAAAGACAACGGACTAGATAATAATGAAGCTTGACGACAACAGATTTTGTGTATCCCTCATTTTGGTATGATTTATTATACCACAGCTACTCAGCTAATTTAAAGTCCCTATTACTATTACCACTATTATCATTATTATTATCCGTCCCGTAGGTTCTGAGTGAAAAGCTGAGCTGCAGCAGTACATCTCCATTGTATTTGATCCTTTACAGTCACTTTTGGATGGCTACACGGCTGTGCACAAGCTTTCATTTCCCCTTTACATGATCTTCATATCACACTCGGGTGCTTAACTCGTGACTTTCCATTCGGATTCTAATCAAGAACTTGACATGTGATGTCACTTGAAGGGCTCCATCCACCTCCATTTCACCCTGTATATTTGTTTGGAAATAGGTCCTTGGCTGGTTTGCTGCCAGATTTCCTTGTTAGTGGCAGACCTAATTTTGCATATTTCTAAATCTGTATACCATCTGATTAGAAGTAGCTTTCTGGTATTTTTAGAATATTGAAAGGAGGTGGCAGTCCGGTCTCTTTTTATGTAAAAGATATATATATATATATATATATATATATATACATATGTTTCTAGTATATCTTGTACGTTCAGTCATTCATCAGAATTCCCCGTTACTTAGTAATCTATTTTTATCGTAAAATCCTGCATTCAACTAATTGCAGAGCCACGCCATCTGTTCCATCAGTATTTGTTTGAGTAGTGAAACTAGAATCCTTATCTAAATCAAATACATATTTTATACTTTTGCAGTGTATTAGGTAGATTACACCATCACTCTGACTACTGAACACTTCTTTGGGTACCCTATATTGCCAAATGAATCGTCTTATTACTTTATTTGTTGTTGTTTAGTTTCTTTGATCTAGTTAACGAGGGGTAGTTTCTTTCTAACTAATGTAGACTTTTCTGTCTTGTAATGTTTCCTCATCTTTTCATTTTCTAGACTGCCTAGGAAAAGTGTATTTATGAGGGATGAACATAACCCATTTGAATCTTATGAGACAACCAAGCACTTCAATGACAGATAACGATTCACTTAATATGGCAACAAAAGTTCGTTTTGTGTCAAATTTATTGGATGGTCATCTGTGTTCTGATGTATTAACTCCTCCTTCTTTGTCAAAACTTACGTCTTTGTCAACTGGAGATCACTCAATATCACCGGACACTGGCACTTGTCTTGATTTGAAAAACTTCTCCATTGGTGATAGAGTTTATTTAAATAAGGCTAAACAACGCGGTACAATTGCTTATATCGGTCCTACACACTTTGCTGCTGAAGATCTTGTTGGTAAGTTGAATGTTTTTCGAGTATATTTTGACTCTTCTTTCTCTCCCAATTACACAGCCAAGCACATTTGATGGTATCTTTTTGACGAAAGCGGGTTAACGTCAAGTAGAAGAGTTTTATTGTTACGTCAGTTATGTGGTGCTTGAGGTGTACATTTTGACAGGGTAGTTCCCACTTTAAACAAATCTGATTATCTCCACTTTTGACGTTGGAAATTTTAAGGTAGCCGAGGGGAGACTTCTAGCTTTTCTTTGCTGTTCATAATTGTCAACAATATGTGTCTGTTAAACTTGAGAAACTTAAATTTTTGGTACGCTTTTTGATAGTAAAAAATGAAACCATAGGACTTTTTGCCAACCATTATGAAACACATTACTAGACGATGTAGAGCTATCCATCTTATTATTGACATCGTAGTAAGGGTTTGTGCCGTATGAGTTACTAGTTCCAAGTATTCGTTTAGCATATACCAGCAAATATTGCAGTAAATCAACAAAAATGTCAATGTGAACATAAGCTATATATAATAAAGTTTGCAGTTATAAATATAAGCTAAATAATTCGCTATTGACAAGTCATTATTTAGTAAGCAAAACCATGTAGGTTATTTAGGGCTATCTTATAGTATTTGAACCGATGAAACTTCAGCTCGCAAAATTAATTATTTGCATTTTTGTTCATTCAAATGTCAGTTTCACCATGAGAATTCAAAGTTATAATTTTTTACCTGGAAAATTCACTTTATTGACTTACTAGAGATACCCTTCGCAACGAGTATAATTTTAGTATTAAAGCGTTCAAATTGTTTGTCTTTGTTTCCTCTAAGTCAAATCACAATTAATAATTGTTTCATAAACAAAAAATTAAAACAAAACAAAATTAGTGTCCTCATACTGTCTATTAATCAATGTGCTTTCTTTGTTCACTGTAGGGTAAATAATTCTATTATTGATTACCATGTGTAATTAGGTTTTCGGTTAAGGCATCTTCCGTTTTTTGAAACATTTTGAGTTGATAGAAATAGTGAGCTGTTATGTTCTGATCTTGTAAAGGAAATTAATTATAGGTGTTTTAAAAAAATAAAACACAGAGCTTTTATTCATCGCTAATTCATCTTTACTCGCCGACCATGCACATGGTCGGGGGTTCAATTCCCGGCCGATGCACTCCTTTACCTTGCTAAGCCAGAAATAATGCTGGTAAAGAGGAAAGGTTGGGCATGAGGCTAGCAACCCCATCCTGTAAACATAAACTTCAAGCCACTAGCTTAAAGCCGTATGTTCCACTGAGGAACGTGAAGAAAAAAAAATTCATCTTTGCACACCTTAAGCTGATGTCTTGCCAAAGAAGTCAATCAAATAAAAGGGAATAAACAACATTTGTGTACAAGTGTGAGTCATCACTAAAAAACAAATTGTCACATCATTAAACATAACCGAGTACAACCTGTTTTAGCTTGCGTAGTTTTACAAACAATATCCCGTCGACTATCCATCTCAGCGATGCATATTATTTAAGTATCTGTGGAACAAAAATATTAGCATCTGATTTTTATATTGTAAAGCTATTGGGATCATTCACTACACTTTCAAACTAGGTTTGTTTAGCATTACAATCGATGCCTAAATGAAAGAAGCCGGAGAGAAAGCGCAATAATAGTTCAGTTATTTAGCAAACAGATTCTATTTTGCGGCTGTTCTGCAAATGTTCTTGACTCTCATACGAAACAGTTTTCATGGTAGCAGCAATAATGGTGATAATATTTATTCATTTCGTCACGAACCGAAACTAGCTACAGGGCATTGGAAACCAGAGATCACTAAACAGCCGTTTCACCCCAGTTCTAGACTTCTCAGTAGCACAAATCCACGATCCTACCAGGGATCAACCTCAGGATCTTTAGGTTAAGAGATCAAGCTCGTTGATCATTCAGCTACTTGGGCCGGAATTGGGTTACCTGTGAATTCCAACTTATGTCAGTTCGTAGTATAGCACTTCAGCCAGTTCCTTCCATGCGCATCCGCTTCACCTTAATATGGTTGACCCCACTGGTCACGACTTCTCAGTACAGATTTAGGACATCCATCCAGTAGCCAATAATGCGCTGGAGATCGATATTTAGGTTATGGGTCAAGTTGACAAGTAAAAAATAAAAGACAGTAGAATTGTTACTTAACAATATCAACGGCTATCTGTTGTGAATGGATAGAATACACTCTATAATATTAGAATTTGTATAAGTAGTTTCTGGTACAATGAGTTAAAACACTTTTAACTTGATATTACTAATAAAATGCAGAATGTGTGAGATTAAAATAAATGACCAACTCACTCAAACAATATTCGTTCAAATGTAATAATTTACTTGTATTATGCTGTAACAACAGAAGGCAACATACGGAAGCCAGAGCATATTTTCATTAATCAAACAGCTATTTGTATATATGCAGTTTATACTCGTTAGCCAATCACTGAGCTTATGATTTTGGTTTACATCAAACGACACGAAATAGAATGTTCAAATATACATAGTATTCAGTTGCCAATGCAGTATTAAACTGTGGGAAAGTATTCTGACTCTAACATTAAATAGAATGTTCAAATAGATATATCGGGACCTGTTGCGAATGCCTAATTGAACTGTGTGAACATGTGTGAACAATATTTTGTTGGCACACATTGTCTGTATCACACTACCACAGTTCTACTTCACTGTGCTGTAAGTAAAGAAACCCCCAAAAGCTAATATGTTCAAGTAGAAATAGTACAGCTACGAAAAGAAATTCCGTCAACATTGTAAACGTTGTCTGATCTTAAAATATTTGTGTTATGGTTGATGATAATATGCTTTATGGTAATCATATTATCCGTTTTAAGTCTCCTAGTTTATCAATCATAATACAAAGAAAACTCAAAATACACACTTTATTAAAAATCAATTACTGTTTCAACAGAATGTTCAGTGTACTTATAACTCCAGCTAAGTGAATATATACATTCATATCCTATTGATCTCTTTTTGAATTAAGCTTATTTGTTTTTTCAGTGTCTATGAGAAGAAAGATTTGAAATGCAATTTTCTTGCACAATAATATAATTCTAAATTCAATTTACCACATTTGGAAAAATACCACCCGATTTGCATGCATTCAAGATTCACAGTGTAAATCTAGGCCCAAATAAAGCTAATAGGTTATCCAGTAAACATCAGTTCATAAAGTCTTCAGTTAGATGGTATTGGCTAAATAGGAAAGATAGGATTTTCGCTAAAAAATTATCTTGTCCTCATTACTCTCTAGGAATATTTAATTTATTGGGGTCTTATCTAATCGACAAACGCCTTATTACTTCAAACCATCCTTCTTGCTTACTCTTGTATTGTTTTGTGGTGACTTACAATTAAGCAGTATCGGCTGTATTCACCAATTTTCTTTGAGCATTGAAGAAATTAAAGGCAAAAATTAGAATTCTGGTTTTATACTTTATTTCTTCAATTTCAAAGTAGTGAATCATTGGAAATATATTATATATATTATGATCCACTTTCAGAAATAACCAGTATCTAAGATAATTAATGGTTATTAGAAGCAAAAATAGAATAATTACAAAAGATTCTGCTTCAACAAGTGTGAATGGATGATAACCTTTTGAAGAAGTATTCTAGATGAATTGATTTGTGGTACTTAAACTGGAGAAAGATGCTTTACTGTGTCGCATTGCACTGATGGGAATGCATTTTATTAGAAAATAACTGCATTTTTAGCTAAATTCTCTCAACAATGTTATCTATGTTTTACCTGTGTCATCATGTTTTCTTCAATTCAAAATAAGCGTGAACTATCGTAAACTTTACCTGTTTTTATTGTGAAACGTCTAAATGTCTTTTACAGCTGTGTGCAACGCATTATATTGTTAGTCTACAAATCTGTAGTATATACACTTTATTTTAATTCCGTTGGAAGAACTGTGTAATAAATGATACAGTTAAACAGTTCCACGAAATTCTAGACTTTCAGGCTAGTAGAATTATTCTGTGGAACTAATTATCAAATGTAGCATTCTGCTTACCGTCACGCCTAAAATCTGAAAAAAGGTCGACTTTCTGGAAACCTCTTCACAATTATTTAAAGAATTTCAGCACAGTATTTTGGTTCTAATCTGTTAATGTCTAATAGACATTGAATTGAAGTCGATCTATCGAAAGTGTAAACATTAGAAAGGAAGATTGTCTAACTGCGACCAAATTAACAAAAGCGTTTACTGTTATACTGTTAATTATTATTGAAAACCTAAGATAATGGATATAGACTCAAATTTATTCTCAAAAATAAGCTTATTTCACTGCTGAATGGGAAAACGTTTTTATACAAATTATTAAAGACTTATGGGTTTCTGTACTGTTGCTACTCTTTTCTTAGTGATGATTTGTCAACTCTCAGACTCATAGTGAAATTCATTTTAAATTTATTGTGGAATCATATTTTCCAGTTGAATAACTTTCATTCAGGCATTGGTTTTTGTAGGGAATTTTGTTTGATTGGATGGACAATTTCATCATGAGCTGACATCAGTTAGAGAACCATTGGAAAACCTGGGAGTACTGGATAGCCGTTTCGTCCTGGTTTGGGGCTCTTTCATTCATTTTATCCACATATGTAAGCAGGCGGCGTTTACCATCTTAAAAAAAGAACCAGTCAAACGTCTTCACTTGTTATAAATCATTGTCATTATTTCTGACTTCCCGAGACTTTTCATGTTATAAATAATACGAACACATGATTATACATCAATGCATAAAAGTTTAAGATGTCACACTTTATGTTAACCTATTAAACAGGAAGAAAAACAAAGCCATAAAAGTAATGTATTATAAATCTTCATAGTGGGTAACACAGTGGCACAGTAGTAGAATGCTCGCCAATCACAGAGGTGGTTCGGGGTTCGATCTGTAGCCGACACACTTCGTTACCTCGCTAGACCAGTAGCAAGGCTGGTAAAGGGGTAAGGTTCGACATGAGGCCAGCAACCCTATCCCGTAAAAATAAATACCACTGCTAATGAAACTTGAAGCTTGAAGCTCTATGCTCCTCTGGGGACGTAAATGAGTAAAAAAGGGCAACACGAGAGAAGGAAAAATTAAAGAAATAAGGAAATATTTTTTACACTTCAGTTTGAGATAAAATATGAGTGTAACTGTTTCATTATTATCGATTTGATTATGTATACTGTTAAATTTATAACCATATGGTTTACTTTGGAACCAACCTATTCAGGCAGTCTTTGCTCTCTAACATATCTTAGACGCAACTGCTCATACTCTGATAGATTATTTAAGCCATATTTTAATCTGTTTGTCTTCAACTTAGTTTTTCCTACCTTTGCTTACATCAAATATCGTGATAAAAATTTCCTTGGTATAGGTGACGTGTATTGTAATCACTTCAATTAATGGAAGATTTATCTCTCTTATCGATTATAAATGATACCGTTGGATAGAACTGTGTTTGCAGACATCATTCTGTTCAAAAAGCCATCGTGTTAAAACAAAACTCTCCATGATAATTTCGTGATAAAATGACGTTCACCTTGACTGATAAGCGATACGTCTATTCAGAAATTATAAAAAGAAATACTCTAATTCTAACAGTATTCAAGCTATCCAGTTTAATTCATACAAATTGAAATTCACATGTGAGTATGAGATGTTGAACAGCTTTTAGGTCCTCGGTAAAAGGATTTCTGAATATTTGCTAAAAAGATTGTCATTAAATGCAAGACAAACCTAGCAGTGTTATTGGTAGCCATATCTTTGATACGAGTCACCTCATCTATTCCAACGCAGCTTTCTGGGCAGTAAATGCATAGAATAATACTAGATTACTACGATATGCAGATATAGCTACTATTAGACGACTGAAGCCTGATTTATGCGTACAGATGAATTTTGTGCCCCAACTTGTATTACTTTGGTAATTTGTAGTTTCTTTCTTCGCCATCCTATTATTTTTTCCATCCTCTTACTATTTTAAACCGTTCGTCTGTCCAATACTTTTCACTATTACATTCAGTGGCAGTCTTTTTTCGTAGTTTCTCCTTCACTGTTTTACCATTCATCACCCAACCCCTTTTCTAATCATATCTGTCTCATCTTAACTGTCTTCATATTAAATTTCCTGCCACCATGATTCTTAATCACACCCTATTAGTATTATGTTAAACTATTTTATTTTGTTTGAATAGAATTTATGGTAAACTTTGTCAACTTCATTTGTTCTTTTATGTGTAGTGAGTAGTCAGGTAATGAAGTGCACCAGTTTTGTCCGCCGAATATATAGTTTTATATAAATGTAGAAGCATTAATGCTGATTGTGCCACTGAACAAACTATTTTCATTTGACAATGGCATATTACTTTTTTAAAAAATTGTACACAGTTTCAATTTGGTGCGTTAAAAGAAGATCTAGAGCACACAAACTGAAGTTGAATTCGCTTCATGCTACACGCTTTGTTCTTCTTGTTTCACACAAATATTTCATTTGATCTTAATAACAAATATACTGTTTCAAGGCTTTTGCCTGATAGGCTTTTAATGGTACTGAGTACAACAGTTTGACCTTGATAACTTTCTTTTACTTAATTGAAAAAAAACTACTTGTTGATAATAACTACCAGAATATTAAAATGGTTTGTGTATATAGGGGCGTAATCTATAGTTTACTTTTAACTAAACCTATTGATTATTTGTTAAAGCAATAGTGCTTAAGTTGTGATTAGGACCACTTTTTTGTTTTTCTGTTTGTGCGATCAATATTGCTAGTCTAAATATTACATTTTCTAACGTGTTTGTGTCACATACTTGTTTAGTCATTCATTTATACGTCATGCTATGAAATCCAATAATATTTTGAAGTATAATAGATTCCTTGTTGATAACATTCTCCGATTTCCTGAAATTGTAGACTTAATGGCTAATAAATCTACCTGTTTTGGTTTTGTCTCCTGTTATTTCTTTTATTAGGTATTGTGTTAGACTCAAACTGTGGTAAGCATGATGGAAGTATAAATGGGATAAGATACTTTCAGTGTGCAGCGAAACGTGGTGTATTTTGTCCTATCAATGAATTATCACCACTGGATCATAGTGAGTGTTATTATTATTACATTGAACTCATGTATAAATGGCAGAAATATGCAGTGTTAAAGGTTTAGTAAAGTAGATCCTCTCAGGTGTTTGTAGGGGTGTGATTAGTTTCAAGTTTGATCATGGATCGATATCAGTTAGAGAGAGATTGAAAAGCAGGGAGTTACTGGAAAGCTTTTCGTTCTAGTTTACGACTCATCAGTAGTACGCACTCATGAGTCTGCTAGCAGTCAAACCCAAAATCTTTATGTTATGAGACTACCTAGCTGACCATTCAGCCACCCGAACGGGATCCAAATGACCCATAAATTCTAATTTCTGTCATTTCGAGATTTTTAACACTACCACTAACCAGTGGGTATTTGTCCCTATACCCGTCATACTGGATCCCACTATCCAGCACTTCCTGGTTTTCAATGGTCCTCTAAATGATATCAGTTCGTTGACTTTTTAATTGAATTAATTTATGGTTTTGAATAGTCAATAGTTGAATTCTTCTGATAGATAAACAGGAAATTATTCATCAGATATTAGGAGAAATCAGTGGGTATAAAACAATAAATATAGTTTTCGCGTTTTTGAGTAATCCCAGGGAGGATGTATCTGCATCTCTGAAGATACCCGTATTCCTTACATTATTCAAAATTTTGTTACTCAGTGGCAACGTCAGATGACTCACCACTGAGTTCGGCTCTATCCAGTCTAATTATCTTATCAAAAGCATCTTTTGTTTCCTTTGGGTTAAGCAACATAACTTCGCCTAGTTTATTTGCTCGCTAGTTTTCTACCCAGTCTCCAACCTAGAGATCCTACCCCGAAAATCAATCAAAATGCTATAGAAACTTTAACACACTAGGAAAGTTTCAAAAGTATAAAAAATATTTAAAAAAAACTTATTTTTCGCTGAGATCAGAGAGGTTAAATGCCGCGGGCTGGCGAAAGCCTTCGTGAAAGCAGTCAGCCAGCCTCTGTGTCTTTTTCCGATGAGAGCGAAAATAGGAATGAAGACGTGGAATGTTCATACGATGTTGGTCAAAGAAATGCGAAGATATGTCAGAGAGGTGCTAGGATTCCGCAGGAGCATATGAAATGGATGTGGACTCTCCAAATAATTGACTGGGAAGTAAATAATATATTGCTACCACCCAAACGGTGACCATGTGCATACTGAAGCAGTGAGGGGTTATGGGATGTCATTAACAGAAAGAAATCTCCTATGCAATGGCAACCAATTTCCCATCTCAATGCTGCTCAAGAAAGTGGAGACGCAGCCTGAAGTCGAGAAGAGGACCAGATATGGGCTCAGACTACTATCTGGTGAAAGGAACCCTCAAGGCCAAGTAGAAAGCCTTCATAAAGGCTTGAGATGGACCACTATTGAAGTTCATTACACAGAAACTGAAGGACAGAACCACAAAGGGCACCTTGACTGCAGCCATCAGAGAAAGGTGAGAGACATTACGTAGCATCTGCAAGGAAACCTGTATGGAATAACAATGAAACTCTCTGAAGGCAATGTTTAAGCCGTTTTGGGAAGAAAGAATTGGCAAGAAAAGGAATGACTGCCTAAGAACACGTAGAAACTAATAGGAGAGAGGGGATGGTGAAAAGGAAGGTGGACCAATGCAACAGAAGGAGAAAGTGAGTTCAATATACAACGTACTGAATGAAGAAGTAAAGAAGAGTGTTAGGAAAGACAAAAGGCGATTCCGTGACATACTGTCTGGCAACTGAAGCAGAACAGACAGGCAGCAGGTGAATGAGACCTCAGAAGTTTATATCAGATACGTAGATCGCTATCGGAGGAGAGACCAGCACAGGTAAAACCAGTGATGCAAGACATTGAAGGAAACTTAATGACCGAAGAGCAGAATGAAAGAGAACAATGAGTTGACCGCTTCAAAGGACTTCTGAACCGACCATCACCTGTAACTCACCGAGAAATGCTGCCAACAACCACGGAGCTGCCATTGAACACCAATTCACCAACAAAAGTGGAAGTCTTGAATGCGACAAGGCTATTGAAAGCTGAGAAGACAAAAGGAACTGATGGGATTCCTCCAGAAACACTGAAAAAGTATACAGAGATCTCAGGGAATATGCTCACGGCACTATTGCAGAAAGTTTTGGAGGAAGGAGAACAACCACTGATTGGAATGAAGGCTACCTTGTCAACCTACTAGAGAAAGGCGAATTGGGCCTGTGCAAGAACTGGCGAAGAATCATGCTCTTGTTTATGTGAAGCGAAATATTAGATCATGGGAAGTTTCAAAGACTAAAGGATGCTCTGAGTGCAGAACTCTGCCCTGAATAATTTGGATTCAGGTGAAGCCAACCGTGTACAAACCAAATTGCATCTGTATGCATCATTATCGAATAGGGCACAGAATGGCAGCAAAATCTCTACCTCAAATTCATGAGCTATGAAGACACCTTTCGACAGCTTTAGCCACGAAGGTGTTTGGAAACTAATTCAACACAACGGAGTGTCTCAAATCCTTACCAAACTCATTCGATAGCTATATGACAATGTCAATGATTCACAACGGAAAACCCAGACAGTAAGCCTTTGAAGTGGAGACAGAGGGAAGTCAAGACTGCATACTGTGACCGTTGGTATTCCTAATTGTGATGGGTTGGATTGTGCGTCGGATTGTGGGGAGCGAGAAGACAGGAATACCTTGGATTGACAGGTAGGAAGAAGAGGGGGTGAGCTTCACGAACTAATGTCTAGTGTTACATAAACTTGAAAACCTACAAGTGAAAACCAACACGTTGACAGAAGAAGCAGCAGGAACACGGCTTCAGGGGAATATGGAGAAGATAGAGATGACGAAGATAACGAACCAGCAACAAGAAACACTAGTCGCTATCAACGGTTGAAATTCTGAAGAGATCACTTCTTCCACCTATCTAAGTAACATCGTTTCAACTAAAGGCAGTATGGTTGAGGTTGCCAAACCCAGGACAGAAAAGAAAAGGCAGAGCTCCATCACTGTGAAATGAATTTGGGAATTTATTTTCATCATAAGGAACAAAACTCGGACTTTCTACACCATACCATTTTATATATTCGGAACAGTTTGATAACAAGTTGTCTTATTTTGGTCACTTTCATGCATATTGATAATTTCTTTGTTATATTTTTCATGTTTTGAAATATTTAGAGAAAACGTCGGGAAATTCCAGACCAAGACATTACTGTGAGAATGAGCAATCACGGTAAGTGACACGTCAATAGTAATCAACAACAGAAATGGATTTTTAATTATTTAAATTATGGTGTTTCATCTTTCTAGTCGTTTAGTTAAAGAATAAACAACATGAATACAGTTATAAAATTAATAAAATAAATCGCACTGTCATTGAGACAATGATTATAAGATTTTTTATGCACGATTGAAAAAAATTCTGACGAATGCCTATAGGTTTAAAAATTAAAGTTTTACTTTAGAGCGCTTAGATTTTAATGACTAAATCCTGTGTGTTATTTAAAGGATTATGAGTAAACATTTGGGTTGTCTGAAAAGTTGAATATTCCTGAGTCAATTTTTTTCATCCCAGCATGAAGGAAAAACAAAATTTCCAACTATTTTTCGTAATGAGTTGGTTGATTTCTGGGTGGTTTTCATCACAAACCCACGTCAGTTAGATGATCGATGAAAACTAAGGAAAACTGGTCAGCTTTTTCTTCATAGTGTGGAACGTTTGGTCAGCGCATGTCGTAGACAAGACCTACAGATTGCGAGATGAGCATGTTGTTGTTCAGCTTATGAGGTTGGACGCAGTAACCGGTGAATTCAAACATCTGCCTAATCTAAATTGGTGATGAAATCTGACAAAAAATTAGAATGTGATAATTATTAACGCTTTTAGTTCCTAGAGGAACATAAGGCTCCAGCTGCACATCTCCATTGCTTTCGGTTCTCTGCCAACGTTTTCTTCTGGCTCCACGTCTGCCCACATGCTTTCATCTCCTCTTCACATGACCTCCTCCATGTCATCCTCACACTGACAAATAACTCGCCACTTCCCATTTGGATTCCACTCGAGAGAGCCTGGTGTGTAATCTCACTCAATTGATGGTTTTCTCAGAGTATGGCCAATCCACCTCCATTTCTTCCTGCATATTTGCTGCACAATCGGCTTCTGCTGGGTTGGTTCTTATAATTGCCAGAGATCTCTGTTGCTGGTCTTTCCTTGCCATTTGATCCTGAATAGTATCGAGCGAAGACAGCTGTTAGTGAAGATATGTAGTTTGTTCGAATTGCCTTTCGTGACACGCCAATTCTTTGATCTGCACAGCAGCACTGACTTCACATTGTAGTTGAAAATCTTGATCGTATTTTTCATGCTGAGTTCTGTTGATCTCCACACAGATTGGAGAGTAATAAAAACCTGCCTTAATTTCCCAATCCTCGTTTTGATATCCTCATCAGTTCCGCCTTTAGTTGAAAGGATGCTTTCCAGGTAGGCAAAGAAGAATGCTTATTTCAGATTCTTCCTATTTATACTGATTGTTATTACTGTTGGCCAGGAACCTTCGTCACCTACCCACATGACAAATCATTTACAGAAGCAAGAAAAGCTACCAATGTTTTCAGAGAAGCATTAAGTACTACAACGATCATCATTCTAAATTAATTTGATTAGGACTGAATGGTTAAAGTGTTAGTAAATATTAAACTGGCAAGGCATGCTTGTACAAACAGTACATACTTTATTGATTTTTTCATCATTTATAATGCTTAATAAGTCATTCATTATCCAATGTAAATGAAGTTTGTTGCACAAATGTGCTTCATACACGCATTCCGTCTTATGAACTTGAACGTAAGCAAGATCAAATGTTGGAGTAGAACACCATACATTCAAAGTTACTTGAGCTATGTATAATTTATAACATTTATTACACATCAACTTATAAAATAATACTGTTATAGTGAAGTAAGATGTTTGTTTGAAACAGGTTACCATTGGTAAGTTCTGTTAAGCTGCTACAAAAATATACGCTCTACAGAAGAAAGGTCCTCATAAAAATTTGGTAAGGTTAGCAAAAGATAAATAACCAAGATATTTCTTAGGTAAGTAGAAAATTCAGTTATAAGTAAAATACAATACAAATTCTAGCACTTGGACCTAAGTTTTGTGATGCAACGTCAAAAGTGAATGAACTGAACACGAAAGTGCAATTTGAGAATTTAATCGACCAGACGAAAAATCTGGCCCCAATCTCATATGAGAATGCAGAACTTTTCAAATCAACCATTTTAAATTGCTGCCTCGATTACATCAACAAAAAACCCAGCCTTCGTAAAGTACTTTCCAAAGAACACCAAAAGCAGCTGAAAGAACTGAAGGATAATGAAAACTTGATAATCACACGATCAGATAAAGGCTCCGGATTCGTCTTGATGAACAAATCAGACTACCTAAGCAAACTCTCGGTCATACTATCTGATGATAAAAAGTTTCAGAAACAGTCTCCACAGAAAGATCCCACCGAACAGACAGAGCTCCAGCTAACAAAGATATTGAAAAAAATGAAAGACGAATTCATTATCAGTCCAAAACTATATGAACAAGTGCACCCATCTGGTTCTACAACACCACGCATGTACGGCTTACCTAAGGTGCACAAACAAAACATCCCACTGCGCCCAATACTAGATATGATCGATTCCCCATATCATTCAATCGCAAAATGGCTGGTGGAAATTCTCGGGCCGGTGAAAGAAAAGCTGTCAAGACACATTCGACTTTGTTGATTCAATTAAGAATGTCAATGTGGCAGAAAAGAAAATGGTCTCCCTGGATGTCGTGTCTCTCTTCACCAACGTTCAACTGGCAGAAACCGTATGTTTCCTTTGTGATTACATTGAATCCAATAGCATAGATGTCAGTATACCGATCCATTATCTGAAAGAACAATCAGTTGAGTTAGGATAATCAAGTATGAAGGAAGATGTGTACTGCTTTGTTTATTGATTATTTTAAAAGTCTTCAGAGTGTTTCTTGGATGGATTTTTAGACAGTTCTTAATCGTGTTTCATTCTAGTTGTATTCATTTACGAAAGCACTATCACGTGTATCTGGTAGTCAAACGATTTCGTCTATTTTTTTTGCAGCCCATAGTGAGGAAATTGGCGTATATCTTTACTGATTTAACCGACAACATAATAGTGCTGTTTCTTCTTCAGTATGCACTTAACTTTTATACTTAGATTATGGAATGTAAGGTAAAATATCTCTCATCTTCAAGAAACACTCTTGAATGTTTGGAAATATTATGAAAAATAATATTCAAAGAGGGGAATAACTGTAGAAATAAGTTAAATGAAATGCCAGATAGTTTGGGTCATCTGTTCTGTCAGCCTGATAAACACAAAACATAGGCTTCCGAATACACAACATAAATACATATCTGAAGCAGGCATTCCTTTGCACTGAATATCTCTTTCAGATCACTTTAATCGTGCTCTATATGGCTGGCTATAAGCCTGCCAATATTTCCTGAACAATAATCATTGTCATGCTCGACAAACTCTACAAAGAAAATAATATTTTAGGTAGGTAGAAGCAAACACTAATGCATTTAAGCAACAGCATAACAATAGTTGTATGCATGAAGCATATGTTATTCAACTAGAATTATAATACATAACATGATGTGTATCTAGTTGGAGAAATGTATTGTTGAAATCACATAATTACCGATATATTGATCAAATGATTGTGATGACAGACAACGTTGATGTGCATGTGTGTGTATTTGACTGTTTTATTGTATGCATTACTGGAATGCTTATTTACAATTATTCATTTCTTTAGCTTTTTAATACTCTGCTACTGCGGTGTGATTTTGTCAAGAGCATTATATAACAGTAGAAATTTGAAATGTCTATGTAGGCGTGTGTACACGTGTGTCTATGTGTGTGCTTGAACACTTGAGTAAGCATTTGTATCTGTGTTTTTTTGCTTAATGTTATTGTGGCTGGATGCTCTACTACCAGATGATCTTGAACACAGCAGTTTTTGTCTTTTACATCACATACGTGAAATTTTCTTTCAGTTTGCATTAATGTATGTTTTTTAAAAATGAAAAAAAGCGAGTAAAACTGTGTGAATATTAAAGTGGTTATTTCTCAAGAAAATTCTACATTTTCATGACGTTTCGCCTCTTAGTTATGTGTTGGATGGAAATCAATTTTTTCTTGATAGCTAACTCAGAAAAGTTTTAAAATAGAAACTATTAGATCGATAAATTAGTTGAAAACAATGTTTTGTTATTCTGTCAGTATTGAGTGACAGAATTCACTAGGTCCATTTGAACTGAGAGAGAGAGAGAGAGAGTGCTACAATTTTCGTTTACACATTACTGATTCTTTTTGGAATTTCATTCTGTTTATTTTCATGATTTGTCAATAATCTGGATTTATTTCTCCTTAAAAGACAAATAAACATACTACTGAGAATATTACTACAGTAGCTTGAAAACCAACACATTGACAAATTATTCACCAGACTAACATACATAACAACAGACTTTCTGTCCGAGTTGTCTGAACACAAAAGAAATGAAATCTTTTGAATTGTTGTCTGGAGTCTTTCAGCATACAGTTTTGATATAAAGATGGTTCTTTTTCCAACAGAATGATCGTTAAAAACGTGAACTTACTCTTGTGTAAATATAAGTCACGGTTTTGTTGTAGAGACTCGATGATAATTCATAATGTTCCGGGTGATATTTGAGTATCATGATGCTTAATTTTACCTCAATAAATTGAAAAAATATAAGGCGTACCACTATAACGATGAACAATGTTGTAATCCAAATAAACTCAAATTAATGGCCTAAATCCGTCCAAGAAGATCATAAAACATACTGTCAGCTAATGTGCTGCGTAGAACTGGGTAAACTACTTGTTTCTCTAAGGCATATTGTACATAGAACTTTCAAACACACTAAACTCTGTGGGGGTATACTGTAAATATAAGTGATTCATGCAAAAATTCTAATAGAACTTGGTGAAATGTTGACAATTTCTATGCGTGTCCCAAAGCTTCACAGTCATAATGTCTCACTACTTTGATGACACTCTATTGTATATTCTTCAGTTCCATGAAGAAAAAGTTAGAAGTAGTGCTGTTTTTCAGAATAACTAACAATAAAGCAGTTATGTATTGTTGTCGGATAGTTGGAGGTATTTCGATGTTAGTCT